TGTGAGTGTGTCTGTCAGTGTATGTCTGTGAGTGAGTGTGTGTGCCTATCAGTGAGTGTGTGTGCCTGTCAGTGAATGTGTGTGTGTCTGTCACTGTGTGCCTGAGTGATTGTGTGAGTCTGTCAGAGTGTTGCAAATCAGTGTGGATGTGTGTGCCAAATTGTGACGATACCTTACCTTTCTCCTCCAGACCCGCGCAGCGCGGCGGTCTCCTTGGCTGCTTCTGGGAGGCGGCGCAGCCTGTCGGACGCTAGCCGCTCACGGCAAAACCCCTCTTATGACGCAACGTCATCAGGATTTTGCTGCGAAAATTCAAACGTGGCCACGCTCCTGGAACTTTTGGGGGCGTGGCTTTAAAGCAAAACACACCTCACTATATAAGGGCGCCCCTGTCCTTCCCTCAGCGCCTTAGTGTGGTTCTTGTTTGTTCCCTCTAGTGCTCTTGGTATATTTGTCTGTTTTCTGGTATATTGACCGTTGGCTTCCTTACTGACTACTCTCCTCTCTGGCTCCCCAAATTTTGGCTTGGTTATTTCTTGTGTATTCTGTTTTCTGTACTCCCTTGACCTTTGGCTATTCCTTTGACTATTCTCTGACGTTAAGCCCGGCCACCCTAAGGTCCGGTATACGTCTCTTTCTGGGGTAACTATCTGCGTGAAGGGGTCACTGTTGTGACACAAATCAGTGAATGCATGTGTATCTGAGAGTGTTTGCCTGTTAGTGAGTAGGTGTGTCAGTGTGTGACTGTCAGTCAAAGCGCATGTTGGTCTTAAACAGGAAGAGGTGCAGCCTTAACAGGAAGAGGTGGGACATATTTAGAATATTGGGGTGCCCAGTTTCCTCATGCCTAGAGCAACACAAACCCCACTGGGTCCCGGAATTGTGGTATTTAGCTGCATTCACTCACCAATCTGATTTCCTTCACTGTTAGGCTGAGATGTCCCTTTTTTAATTCTCCTGTAGAATATGGTTCACTGTTGGGTGTCCCTTTCTCTCCCATCTCTCCTTCTCTAAAGCATTCCACACACATTTCAATCTGTCTGCCTGTCTATGTGTATCTATCTGTCTGTGAAACATACTATATATGGTATTTAGCATTGTATAAATAACAGACTTGCTATTTAACATGTTACTATATATTTTATACCAATGCAAAGCTGTCAATGCATCGTGAACCTTTCAGTGCTTTCATTCATTTCTTGGCTTCTCCTTAACTCTGATTCTCTTTGTTTTAATCACTTAGCTATATAGCCTTAAATATAAAACAATGTAATCACTTCAATGTTACAAATCCACTGAGGATTTAAAAAGTAATTGCATAAACTCTTCTATGTACTTCTTTAAACAGAGCAAAAGTTACCAGTGGCTCAACTTCCCTTGATGACCCCCGAAGCCATCTGGAATCATGCTAGTAGCTTCCCAGAGCTACAATTCATAATGTATGCAGTTGGATTTGTCTAGCTGAGATGCCCCAGGAATTAATTATCATAGTAATCAAATTTATTTCCAGCCATGTAGATCATAAATTTGTTGTAAGCCACTTTAGTGGAAATAAGAAATTTGCTTGCAAAGTGAAAAAGTGTTATCTATTTATTTATTCTTTTAGTACTACTGCAGCTGTTGTTCATATAATTTGGAACATTTTCTTTTGTGTGTTGTTTATTTTTTTTAAATACACAAGTCCTGGCAACTTATTTTCCTGCGTAAAATTTACATTATGTTAAAAAATAATGAAAAATTTTCAATAACTTTAAATGACTCTGCATTTCCAATTGGCGTTATAAAAGAAGGGAATGGCCAAATGATGGATTTTAAATGTTGCTAAACCATGTTCCTCTGATGCTTTAAACCTATCTAGTGTTTCAATTAGTTATCACAAAATGTTTGCCCAGCTTGACTAATGTATCAGTTTATTGGGTGTTTGATTTTCAAACATTATGTTGTTTTTTTATCTATAAAATAGCTTTCTGAGCAATATTTTCTTCATACGGTGACTGTTACTAATTAACCTTATGTTGATATTGGTTTACTGTTGATATATACTTAGTTGTAACAATTATGGAGGGATACAATCGAAACCCACTCAACCATTAATATATTTCTAATATCTATGTCATATACATACTGAGCAGGGTATGTGATATCCTTCATGATCTAACATGGGTAGGAAGAGATTTATATTATTAGTTTTACAGATCTACAATTTAAAGGCACTAGGATATAATGAAAGAAAGAAAATTAGCAAGAGAGGTGAGAACGTACAACAGCTCAATTAGCCTGACCTTCCTGGGTCCCCGCTAGACATGTACAATTCGTTTCAGTCCAAATTTAAATTCGGACAAATTTCCTCAATTTGGACATTCGGATGCTTCCGAACGTCCAAATTGCAGAATTGCTGAATTTCGGAAGTGCCGAATTTCGGAAGTGCCAAACTGAACCAAATTGCAGAGGTGTCAAATTGCCGAAGTCACAAAGTGCCGAAGTGTAGAATTTCAGAAGTGCCGAACCGAATTGCTATAGTGATGAATTTTGGAAGTGCCAAAGTGCTTTGGATTTCTGAAAAGTGGCAAAACAGGAGAGGGAGGGAAAATTAAGGGAATGATGACAGGAATCTAACCCTAAACTTAACCCTAAACTTAACCCTAACCTTAAACCTTGTAGGAGTAGGGGTAGGGTTAGGGGTACGGGTAGGAGTAGGATTAGGGGTAGGGAATTGCCGAAGTCTCGAAGTCCCGAAGTGCCAAAGTCCCGAAGTGTCATAGTGCCGAATTGCAGAATTCACGAATTGCCCAAGTCCCCAATTTCAGAAGTGCCGAACCGAAGTGCGGAATTGCCGAAGTCCCAAATTGCCAAAGTTCCGAATTTTGGAAGTGCCAAACCGAACCAAATTTTTTGTCCATGCACATCCCTAGCCCCCGCTCAGATCTCAAGCTGGTTTTAGCTCATCTAGTGCCATTACAGATAGAACATATCTGAAGAATATCAGACTGGTCCCACCCGTAAGGGCAGTCCAAATCCAAAATGCCAGCAAGTTCCCTCTGCACAAGAGATACAGCAATCCCAGACAATCGTTTCAACCTTGTAAGGTATTATCAGTGAAGTATAGCCAATATCCCTATATGGACCATGAGTAAGGGGTCCACGTCTGGATTGCCCCTTAAACTTAAGGAGAGAAAAACAATTAGGTGAGAATGGACAACAGCTCAATTAGCGGGCCCTTCAGTTGGTCCCCGCTCAGATCTCAAGCAGGTTTTAGCTCATCTTTTGCCATTACGGTGCCATTACTCCACTAGAAAATAATGTCATAATGTTATGAACATGGAGCAAAGTTATATTTATCTTAAGGCACTGATCTCCTATCCTACAATCCTATTAAAGGAACATTCCATTAAAAAAACTATATATATATATATGCAGTTTGTTTTGTTTTAAATAGACTTGTATTGAGATAGCACAACAGCATATCGAATACAGTTAGTAACTACACAGAATTACCAGACAGTGGGGGTAAAAAAAACATATAACACAAACAATTGGCAATTTGGGCATTGCTTAAAATAGCAGGAATAACAATAAAGGGATGGGATGGGGGGCAAGGTAAAAAGGAAAAAAATGGGAGGGGAGTATTGGTATTGAACTACCAGTATGGGCATATTTTGATATCCTCTGCCCGTTCCTCATCTACAATGTCCAGAGTTTATGGTAGACATGGCACCAGACAGTAAGTGTGGTGAGGAATCTTCTACAGTTGTGGTGTTTTTCTTCAACAGTATTGGAAATGCCTTTGACATTTGCCATGGACCTGTCCTCAGACTGTACCGTGGGAGCCTATGCAGAGCCCAACTCATCCACTCCCTGGTCCCCGGCACAGTACCATCTCCTCTAATCATCATTATGCCTCAGTGTGATGTCTAGCCAGTTGTGGGTGTATATCAGGTGTAAAAAATAAGGATGCTTTTCACATATAAAGCACTTCAGCAAGCTAATGTATGCATTTTATTTTTAGTGTACCTTTAAGAATAAGCTAACATGACTACACATATTGTAGTTTGACTGGCAAACATTATATAATTTAGAGACACTGAGAGCATTACAACATGCTTACTGTAAATTTGAGATATGTTTTATGTGCATCTATAACTGGAATTAAAAAAAAGTGGTCAGGGGGTGGGACATGGTGGTTGACCTGGACGGACGCATGTTAGATAGGCTCTGTGTCTAATAGACAAACCAACGATTCCAGGCGACACTGGGGTCAGGAAAAGAAATGGGCAGAAACTTAACAGCTATGGGACGCAAAACAAAAAAGCAGAAACCAGATAAGCCCAAATCAGGGGTCAATATCAGTGATCTATTCCGCCATGCAGATGGTACATATGGGCCCAAGATGGCTGCCAACCTCAAGGACTCCTCTGAGGACTTCACCCTGAATGAGAGAACTAGCGGATTGCTCCCTCCGATCTTGCCGCAGACTTAACCCTAAACAGGTGAAACAAGACCGGTGACAGAAGCAACATTAAAAGCCATGCTAGAGGACCTACAGAAGACACTTCAAGCAGATATAGCCCAGCTATGCACCGACCTCTCATGCCTTGGTGGTTGCATACTGGCGGTGGTAATCTCCTCAGACAAAAACGCACAATCACTCACAGAGCTCCAACATGAAATAAAGTCGCTTAAGGCACAGCATGCCAAACACGAGCAGCGCTTTGTAATGATTGAGGACCACCGACGTCGTAACAATTTGAAGGTCAGGGAGGTCTCGGAGGACATCCCCCATGCGGAACTCCCACACCTTATGTGGAGACTAATGGGAATGCTGTTAGCACGTAAGCAGGCCAGAAATATTACCCTGGATTTAGTTTTCAGAATCCCAAAGCCTCGGAGAGCACACGTGACAGCTCCCAGGGATCAGGTGATGTGGTTCCGGAACTCTGCTGACAAGGTGGCTTTCCTCACAGCTCTCAAGGAGACTACCTCTCTCGATCCTTCTACACAGATCTCTCGGGTGACACTCTCCAATGGAGACGATCTCTACGGCCCTTCACAGCACTGCTTAAATAGTGCAATATTCATTACCGGTGGCGCTCATAACAAGCTCTACAAATACTTAACCTTCCGGAGGATTCCTTACCATTTCCAGACCTGCCAGAAATGGCTTCAGCGGTGCAGAGGTGGGATCCAGCAAAAGTTACTCCGTTTGTCCCAAGGGGAGTGTTGGCGAATAAATCTGCAGCCAATCTAACCTGAACCACGGAACTCTCCTTTCACTACCAAATTGTTAGCTAAAAGGTACTCATGCTACTCTTGTTACTCTCATTACTTGTGGTTCAAAGTTAGTTAGAATTTTGGTTCGTAACCATTACCTTTCACCATTCACCACATGATATATACCACAGCTGTCAAACCCTTTTATATGCCCTAGAGGTTCCTATACCTACACCCTCTCTCCCCCCTCCAACTTCTAATGCGAGGAAAATCTACATAGAACAACATATGGAGGTTTGGGAGGTGTAACTCTGTTTCTAACAGAGCCTATTGCCCAGAGATCACACATACTGTACTTCTGACCTAGTGTCACCCAGAAGTATTTATACCTTAGGCAGACCCCAATGCACTCACTGAACAATACCACCGGTACATAACTAGCCCCTAACAAGGCCAAGGTTCGAGGGAACACACATGAAATGACAAGTAGCAATTTAAAATAAAAACCATCATCTACCGAGCTAGATACATCAGGATACACCTTGCCAATGTATGTTTCCACTAATGATTGTTATGTCAGATATCCTTCTTGCAAAACACCTTTATGTCTTATCACACTTGAGAGATGAGTACAAATAAAGAATTTAAAAAAAAAGTGGACAACCATGGATATAGTCAGTTTTTTTGCTTGGGTTAGTGTTTCCTCTCATTTATTGAAAGGTCCAGCACTGAGAATGTTAAGGAAAGAATTATTGTATATGTGCAGGTTGCAGAGCAACTAAAGGTAATTCATGAAAACTGCACCATGTAATTTTCAGATGAATACTCATTCCTTAATGTTTCACTGCTGGATCGTTCACAAAATGTGATTAGAGGGGACCCATCTCTGATTGTTCCTAGAAAGGGTTACATGAAACTAGCATTAAAATTCATGATGGTAAAAAAGTAAAGATTAGTATTGTCTTCAGTTGGTTTATGAAAAAGGGTCAATCAAGATAGTGTACATGAATATTTCAACAAATAACACATTCTGTGGTTTAAGCAAAGTATTTTATTTCGAAAAAAGATTTATCTTTAGCGACTGGAAGTGAAAAGTGATCATAAACATTAATTGCGACACACTGTAGTGCAAACAGTTTGTTCTCTACAATACTCTGTGAAATATTATAGCACCGTGTTTCCTACTGATAACAGACTGCTACTAGAACGATAATGTTAATTTGCATTGTATTTATTGGATTGTTTAGGTTTTATTATATAAAATTCAGAAGAAAGTGTGGCACTCCAATCAATTTGGACGTATATCTCCAACACAAACAGTTGTTTTACATATACTCATTCTATGAAACACAAAGGGGCTTATTCACTAAAATCTAAACTATATTGACTTGAAAGCCACATTAGGCTTGAATAGCCAAGTTGTAAATACAGCAGAGTTGCAGACTTTTTATGAGTCATCTATTTTTTGTGCCTAAATTTTGCAGTCTGGTTTTCAATTTATTGCATCTCATAGCTCAGTGAATAATCGTTGACAAATTTAATCAAATTACCTAAGATTATACTTTATTATAGACATCCTATTCCAGTAGCTTGATATCCTCCCTACCATTCAATGTCAGTTTAATCTACATGTAGGGATTGTTCGCATACCTATTTACTATGTTCATATCCCCCTTAAAGTGAAACTGTCACTTCTCAAGATTACTAATATTGGCCTTGATATAATATTTTTTTATTAAACATTTCAAATGATTTAATATTTCTGCATAAACTTTTAAAATGATTGAATACTTGGAAAATATATTTTAATATTTTACATTTTTTTGCTATATTGATATATTTTTTTATATGATATGATATCTGTAACGGATCGTCTGGCACCCCGACTGGGTACCTCCTTTGACGGATGCTCTTAGTGCTTCCCGAGGGCTCCAATCACTCCACTTGACACCATAAACACTGCAGACCCCACAAACCGCTGCAGCTTGGTTGGGGTCTCGCCGTCTCCTACCCACCCTGGACCTATGACAAGGCTCCAGGTTCCAGTGGGTGAACCTCTCTTTCCCCAGACAGTGGAGCAGGAACAGGAACAATCTCTTACAAGAGCTTAGTGATTATTCAAGGGAGTATGAAGAGAATAGCAATCGCTTGTAGCAGATTCCCCCCAATAAGAGACAGGACTCTAGATTGAGGGTAAAGTAGAACTGAAGGTTTATTGCCACAACTTGGAATATATACAGTCAATGTCAAAGTGCCGTTCGAATTGTCTGTGAAGAGTTGAAGTTCCGGAGAAGGTAAAGTTCAGCGGTGTCCGTACCGTCGCGTGTCCAATTTGAGTTCCATGAACTCGATGATAAAACACAGCTGAACACGTTGAACTAGACAAGATGGCCACCTCCACGTCTTCGACTATACGAACAGCGACCACCCAGCCGTTCATCAATTTGGCTGCGGTTTAGCTCCCAGCCTGGGAGGTATATTGGCTGCACCCTCCACTTGTGTGTGGTCCGGCTGTTTGGTAGTTCAAAGTTCCACTCCGACCACTTCAAAAGTCCAAAGGCATTGTGCTAAGTCCCAATATGCACAAATAGTGTTTTTAAAGGGCAATACATCCCAGGGGCCATTGTCACAGGAAAAGAGGCTGGCAAGCAGGCCTCTCCAAAGACCAGTGGCAAGGTCACTTTCGCCACAATATCATTTTAGATTTTATTTTAATATTTTGCTAAAATCATTTTTTTAATTGTATCCAAAAATATTAACCCCTTAAGGACCAAACTTCTGGAATAAAAGGGAATCATGACATGTCTCACATGTCATGTGTCCTTAAGGGGTTAAATCATTTGAAAAGCGTATCCAAAAATATTAAATTATATTTACTTATCTAATATAATATTAACTAATATGTATATATGAGGTGGAACATAGAATTAAATGTAGAACTCTTTATCCAGCAACTGAGCAACGCCATCTTAGCTCCCTGTCAATCATTGTTATGAGACATTTCCTTTGCATCTGGCAGTCAACATAAATAATTCAATGTCATTACTAATCTAAATGTCCTAAAATGGTCAGATATGTGCTTTAAAAAAAAAAAAGACACTCCCAGCATCAGAATTACTATAACATGATATAGTGGTTATGGTAGCAAGTGGGCCCTGGCACCTCCCATGTAGTCACACCTTTCTAGACTGATTTCTCACCACCCCTACATCAGCTGGTGAGCTCTCAGTCTGAAGCTCTCTGTCTGAAGTGGTCCTAGTAGACCCCCTGAGATCTGATCACCTCTTTCTGGTACATAGGTAGCTCTAGGTATAGCCCCACCTTAGTTAAATAAAAAAACTAAACCATCTATTTTGGTCTTCAACACCACCTCTCTACAGTTAATAATCCCAGTGATTATTATCATGGTTATAGCTTCATAGACATCCATTCCCAATCCTTGTAGAGAACTAACACATTCTAAGCAGACATTTAAAGCCATTTATAATGCAGTGCCACCTATTTTAGAATGTTACACATTGTTAAGAATAACATTTTCAAATGCCACCTAACATTGTTGCACTTATCTAAACTGTTATACATGGTCATTCTAAAGTGAAATTTAAGTGGGGTTGCTTTTAAAGAGTTTATGTTTTTTTTTAAATTCTTTTATATTTCCCATTGAAAGAAAAAAGATATTACATGGTAAATTCTCCAAAAAGAGTCATAGTAGATTTGAACAAGTATTAGTCCATTCATTTGCGTAATCTAATGCATTCCATGTCATATAAGAGCAAGAGACGAATGTACAGTAAAAGTACTGAGCTTGTTTTTGTGTTGCTAAAACATGGAACATATGTATCAACTGAACAATGAGGGTTTAATGAAAAACAGAATACACATTTTAGAATATTCTAGCTCAATTGGAAAAAAAAAAAATTGGTACTATTAAAAAAATACATAATAGTACACGGAAAAATATAATAAACTAGATACAAGTAAAACTTGTTTATTTATCACAGCAGTCCTTATTTCAATTATTTATTATTCTCTTTTAAGTAGTCTTGGCTAAATGCAACTACTTGCCTGCAACATGCTGATACAGATATAAAGCTTTAACATTTTTAATTTATGAATTGGACAGTTTGACATCACAAAAAAGATGAAAATTATATAGGTATTAGGTACAGCCATAATAAAATATATTCACAAGGTTCAATATATACTGTATTAGCAAAATATTTGAAAACAAAAAGATGATATGACAACACAGTACATTAATATTGCAACTGCCTACAAACCTCTGGTATATATAAAGGTCAATCAGTTATATTCCTTTATATTATTACAGTCATATTTATTCTATTCAGCAATGCTTTCACAATCTTTATATTGAGTTTAATATCAGCATGGTATAACAACAACAAAGTATGGAGAGATCATATGCTAAAATACATCTAACTAGGTGCCAATACTCCACAGTACTCTCTCAAATTCCCAAACAAAATCAAATATAATGGCACACAAATAATTTAATAGTGCTGTTACTTTTTTTTTCTTCTTTTAAAGTTGGCATTTTCAGTTTTTATTTTTCTACTGCTAGTCTTTTGTCCTTTAAAACATAAAATGAATAAGCACTCATTGTGTTAATCGCATTTCTCAAGATGACAGTGCACTTGGTTGAGCTACATCGATACATTCTGTTCTTAAGTGATGTTTAGCAACGCGTATCTCTCATTCAGACATTTCCATTTCATGAAGCTACTGGCACTGGACGCTACTCATTAGAACGTAACACGATTTTTATACTGATTGATGTATAGTCATATGAAAAGAGGTTGCCAAGATTAGAAATCGCTTTGCAGTCATCAGCATAAAAATTTGAGATGAACCTACAGTATGCCAATACAAATAACTCTTGGTATCTTGCCTTCTGCTCATCTGGTGTAGGATTCGCATCAGCTGTTCTGGGATTGTGTGTTTTTTCTTTCTCTCTCTTGAATTGCCAAGAATTTTGACCGTGTAGAAATCCGCACTATATTTTGTGGGGACATTGCTTTAAAAGTGCTCTCCAAATGTCTACTGTAAAACAACACGTAAGTGCACTGTACTATTCGAATTGGGTGACCCAGACAAATGTTTGAAGAGGCCTAATGAATGTGATTTTTTTTTTTTTTTTGCTGTGATGGAAAAAAAAATCAATTTTTTTTTGCATTAAAAACTAGACTATATAGATAATCTTATAAAGAAATGAAAAGAAAAAACGATGATAATAAATGACTATGAGACAAATAGAAAAATAACTACTAAAATAGAAAGAGAATAGAAAAAAAATGTGATTACAAATGGAATCATAAAAAGATCAGGTGTAAATATCAAATCAATGACATGATTATTAGTTACTAT